TCCTCCTCCTCCTCCTCGAGTCCTCCTCCTCCTCCTCGAGTCCTCCTCCTCGAGTCCTCCTCATCGTCCTCCTCTGCTCCCCCCTTCCGTAGACCAGATCTTGGCTGATTTGGGCGGCTGCTTCTGGCGACTGGTCAGGCCCCCTCTTCCCCAGTCTGCTTGCGCGAGTGGTCGAAGCAGACCGGTTCAGCACCAGTCCGGACCCAGATACCCCCCCCCACCCTTCGGCCAGATGTTGACGCCCAGAATAAGAAAACGCCCACCTCCTGGCGAGAATGAGGGCGCCAGTGCCGGCCGAACTCTGGCACGATCGGAGCGTTGGAGCTCAGGCGTCTTTGGGGGGGCGCGCCGACTTCGGCGAAGCCCTGGGGCTCTCCCAGGGCCGAAGTCGCAGACGATTTCTCGCTTCCAACCCCCGATTTTGCCACGAAAAATGAACCGCTTAGAAAAGGAGAGGGAAACTCGGGGATACACCCCAGGAAGGCTAATCGGACGTCCTCCTCCACCTCCTTCTCCTCCACCTCCTCATCCTCCTCCACCTCCTGCTCCTCCTCATCATCCTCCATCCCCCTGTCCTATGTCCCCGAGTGGGGCCCAAATGTTTCAGCCCATTCGAATCCCACGAAACCTAGGAGAGGGGTCGATATACCCCCTTCCACGAGAGCTCTCGTGCTCCTCGCCCCTGCTTCTCTCAAAAGACGCCGCCGACGTCGCTGCAGCACTCCCGCGCGCAGGAGGGGGCTCGTGCCGAGGCCCCCATCGAAGTCCCCCCAGAGCTTCGCCGAGCTCCGCCGGGGTCCCCCCCCTGGATGCCCTCCACGGGGTCTGACATTGGCCCTGCGGCCTCGAACAACGAGAGGAGGGGGGCGGAGGAGGAGAAGGCGAAGAGGATGGGGAAGAGAGCAGCAAGAGCAGGAAAGGAGGAGGAGGAGGAGGAGGAGGAGGAGGAGGAGAGGGGGGCGGAGGAGGAGAAGGCGAAGAGGATGGGGAAGAGAGCAGCAAGAGCAGGAAGAGGAGGGCCCTCTGGCGCCATCCGACCTTGCGCGGTTACACTGGGGGCCCATGCCAAGAGACACCCTGCTCACCTCCGGGGTGCCCGTGCCGAGGCCCCCATCGGGGTCCCCTCGGGGCTTCTCCGAACTCTGCCGCCGGGGTCCCCCCCCCCCTGGGTGCCCTCCGCGGGGTCTGAAATGACTGGCCCTGCGGCCTCGAACAGCGAGAGGAGGGGGCGGAGGAGGAGGAGGCGAAGAAAGGGGGGAGAGAGCAGCAGGAGCAGGAAAGGAGGAGGAGGAAGAGGAGGAGGAGGGCCTCTGGCGCCATCTGACCCCAATGCCAAGAAACAGCCTGCTTGCCTTCAGGGTGCCTTGGGTTTTCTTGGGGGTCGATGGTTCTGCGATGGAACGCGCGACGCTCCCACACCAAAAATCAATGGACGTCCTGGGGTCTCAGGGTTGGGTTTCTTGTGGAAGGTCTCTTGTGGTCGGGCCCCTACTGTATCCGAGGTCGGGAGGTGCTCCGTCGGGGTCGTTTCCTTCGCTTTCCTTGCGATTTCCTCTGGGCGCACGCGACGGCTGCACATGGCTGCACGGTTCTTCCGTCATCGCCACAATGCTGCGCAAGCGTAGGGCACCACGTGCAGCCCTCAGATTGCAGCCCGGGGAGGCCCATGCGTCCTGGACTAAACAACGGCATGAGCATGGAAGTTCTGAGGTCCGCGCGAATGTGCCGGACCGGCGCTGGAGCCCTTTCCTGGCGCGCGGAGCGAGCCAGGGGCGGCGCCGGGGGCGCCGCCAGGGAGGCCCCAGCGCCGACCCGAGGAATCCGCGCGAAATTCCGAGGTGTCATGTTGATGTCATGACTTGTTCCCCTAATGCGGGGGTCCGCGCTAGAGGATGCAGAGCGGGGTGGTGCGCGCCAACTGCATGGACTGCCTCGACCGCACCAACGTGCTGCAGTTCTTCGTGGGGCTGGAGGCCCTCAAGCGGCAGCTCGCCGCGCTGGGGCTGCTGCCCGAGTCGCGCCTGGAGCAGGATGTCGTCGTCGTAGCCGACGTCGTCGTAAACGTCGTCGTCGTCGTCCTCGTCGTCGTATGTAGACGTAGTTGTCGACGTGGTCGTAGCCGACGTCTTCGTCGTCGTCCCGTCATCGTCGTAGTCGACGTCGTCGTCGCGTCTGGAACAGGGCTCACAGCTCGTGAGCGTGCTGATCGAGCTCTACGACCTCATGGGCGACCACTTGGCCCTGCAGTACGCCGGTTCGAAGGTACCCGAGGGCCCAAACCGACACGGCATAGTAGCATGAACCTTCGGAGGCTCGCGCGGATTCTCTGGAGTCAGCGCTGGGCCCCAGTGCGGGGAGGGACGCCCAGAGCCGGCCCAGGAAGTCCGCGCGGTCCTCCAAATTTCTAGCTTTATGTCTAGGTCGAAGCCGTATACGGCGAAGCACCGTCTCTGGGCCCATTTTGGCCCCGGAAGGACTCGAAGACTCGCTCGTGCTCCGCCCTCGGGTCTGCGGGAAACCCGAGCGCCCAGGAGCGCCCGAAGCCCGGAACCGTGGGCCCCGGCAAGAGCACTCCTTCTCACATTGGAAGGGACATCTCGAGTTTTCGTCAGGCCTGCGCAGTGTTCGTAAGAGCAGGAACGCAGCTGAGCACAGGAGGGCGTGCAGGCAGCTGCGGAGCTCGGACATGCAGAAGCAAGGTGCGCCCGAAGCCCGAAGAGCAGGTATTGGACATTGGACAGTCCTATGTGACAGGACTGGCGCCGCTTGCCCGCGGCGCATGGGAAAAGGGATCGCTACCCTCTCCCTACCCTTCCTCGACCTACGGACACATCAGTAGGTTCGACCCTTCGGTCGTTAACCTACATATACACCCGAAGCCCGGAACCGTGGGCCCCAGAAAGCGCAGTCCTTCTCTTCTTTGCACGGATGACTCTCTCCGGGGAGGCCTGTGGGCTCTCCACTCGGTGCCTCGCTTCACGCAGAGGGTTTCTCCGAAGGGCTTTGGCGATACCTTCTCCTCCTCCTCCTCCTCCTCCTCCTCCTCCTCCTCCTCCTCCTCCTCCTCCTCCGCCTTGTCCTCCTCCTCCGCCTCTTCCTCCTTCTCCTCCTCCTCCTCCTCCTCCTCCATCTCCTCCTCCTCCTCCTCCTCCTCCTCCTCCTCCTCCTCCTCCTCCTCCTCCTCATCCTCATCTTCCTCCACCTCCTCCTCCTCTTCTCTTCCCCTCCTCATCCTCATCCTAATCTTCCCTCTCACTCCTCCTCGTCTTCCTACTCCTCCTCCTCCTCCTCCTCCTCCTCCTCCTCCTCCTCCTCCTCCTCCTCGGGTCGCCTACGGCCCGGGGGGAAACCGTGCAGCTGTACGGTGGCAAGTCTGCTGTTGTTCTTCCTTTGGCCCTCCCGCACCGACCTGCACGGTCCGGTCGGGCTCCGCCTCGCCTCATCTTTCGCCTCTTGCTCTTTCTTTAGGCCTCCTAGATGGGGTCCGAGTAGATGGGGTCGGAGTATAGCGCCGCGTCGACGGTGCATCGGCGATGCGGTTCGATGTGGAGCCCGATTTTCTCCACGCTGGCGTCGCCGATGCATCGCCGATGTCGCCGATGCATCGCCGATGCATCGGCGATGTATCGCCGATGTATCGGCGATACGGTGCGATCCTCCGACCCCATCAACTCCGGCCTCATCTAGGAGGCCTCTCCTTTCGTTTCGTGCCTTGATTAGGTTCCAGTGCACCCGCGGACTTTCAAAAGTTTGTGCTCTCCAGGTCCACAAGAAGTACCAGCTTCTGGGCAGCCGGCCGCGCATGATGCCCAGCTCGAAGGAGCTGGTCGTCTCGATGCACCGGCACTACAGCAATTCCTTCACAGACGAGCAGAAGCAGGCGTCGATCAACCTCTTCTTGGGTGTGCACCAGCCGCAGAACCACCCTTCCCTGTCCGTCCTGGACTGCGACAGTTTCATCCACCACGCCCCCCTGCGCTTGGACTTCCACAACGGGGAGTGGTGGGAGCTGCCCCTGCAGGTCTTTGAAGACACTGCGCGCGCGCTGCGGTCGTTGCCGTTGGGGGCAGCCCTGCCGACCGACGAGAGGCGCCACGGAGGGAGTTCGAGTGAAGGCGAAGGGTCGTCGTCGTCGACAACGTCGCGCAAGGGAAGAGTCGCGGTCGAATGGCCACCCTACCATGAAGTCGGGCATGTCCCTCTACAGGGGGAATATTCAAAAATGGTCATAATATAGTCCGGGGACGATGTTTTGGACTATTGTTGGCCATTTGGGTGTATTTGTTGACTACTTTTTTTCTCGCCCAGAATCCGCCTGTAGGGGGGACATGCCCGACCTAACCCTACCAGGAATCTGGACGCCCTTGACACGGCCAGGCTGGGCGGCTGGGCGGAGGCTGGATGCACGCGCGGGGCGCGCCAGGCACCGCCTCGCCCTGCAGGAACCGAGAAGATGACCTCTCGCCCTCGGCGGAGGCAGGGGGCATGCGCGCGGCAGCCAGCGGAGGCAGAAGACCGGCGGCTCCGCTGGCGGAACTTGGGCGGGAGCCAGGGGAAGCAAAAGCGGAGCCCCAGTGACAGGAGCACTGCCGCACCGCAGGCTTCTAGGCTTCTGGAGGCGGCCGCATGCGACCGAATTCAAGTCGGGCGTGTCCCTCCGCAGGAGGAATATCCAAAAACAGTCCATAAATAGTCTGGGGGCGAGTTCGTGGCTGTTTGGGGCTATTTTAGAATATATATATATATATATATATATATATATATATATATGCTCACACACACCCCCAAGATCCCTATTTTCCGTGCTCTGTTCTGCTTTCCTCTCTTCGTCCTCCTCCTCTTTCTCATCCTCCTCCTATCCCCCCCCATCCTCTCCCCTCATACTTTCTCCTCCTTTTGCTCTATTCATATCTCTCTGGTCATCCTCCTCCTCCTCCTCGTTCTCATCCCTGTCCTATCTTTCTGTTTCTGTACTTCCTGGATTAATCCAGGGCTCGGCGGTTTAATCCACCTCTCCTTCCTCCCTCCTCCCTTCCTTCCTCCTAGAGAGGGGAAGCACACTCGGTGCCCTTCCGCCAATCCGTTTCGGCGTCCAGGGACCGCTTTCGGGCCCCAGAACCATCAAAAACGACCCAGAGCGAAAAACCATCCCAAGGAAAAGGGTGTGGACCTTTGGGGCCGCGGATTTCCTCATGGCCCCAGGCGATTCCCCTTTTCCTACTCCTCCTCCGCCTTCAACTTCTCCCCCCCCCCTCCTCCTACTCGCCCCACCCTGTCCGTAGCCATCATCGGCTCAAGTTGCCCCCGCGCGGGCTGATCCGAAGATTTGCGTCGAAGTCTTACAGCAGGTATGAACACCTCGATTGCGGTATCTGGTCGTGTTGTGTTGACCCGTGATGGTAAACGGGCGCGCCTGGATTTGAGCGTTGGCAATCCGTCAGAACCCTCGGGCTCGGCAGCTGCTGACATCATCCGCCTCTTGGAGCCGGCTGCCCCTTCGGGGCCGCCCGTTGCCCCCGTGCCGATCGCGGACCGCGTCCGCCCGCGCGCTGTGGATGTTATTGGTGACGTGAACGCAGGGCGCTTGACCGTGCACCCGTCGAAGACCGACCTCTTACTGAAGGAGGTGAACAACCAGATGAATTACATACAGGCGTCTTGCGGAATGCAGCGCCGCCAGGAAGGCCAATGGAGTGAAGCAGCCCAGAACAAGCTCGTCGCCTGGCTCAACAAGCGCAGGCAAAAGGGAAAGGTCCCTGACGGCCCCCCTGCACGTGAGGCGCCCCCCGCCCTGGCACTCATGGACGGCGTCGTGGGCGACGAGGGCGGCGAGGGCGACGACGAGGGCGGCAAGGGCGACAATGAGGGTGGCGAGAACGACGGCTCGAAGAAGGACGAGGGCGAGGACGAGGAGGAGGAGGGCGAGGAGAGCTCGAAGGACAAGGACAGCGACTCTGAGAACACCTCGGAGGACGAGGACAAGGGCTCGGAGGACACCGAGGGGGCCGAGGACAAGGGCTCGGAGGACACCGAGGGCGAGGGCAAGGGCTCGGAGGACAGCTCAAAGGGCGAGGGCGGCTCGGAGCACGAGAACTACGCGGAGGGTGGGGTCCCGATGGACGAGTTCGAGGAACTGTTCGCCAGGTGCGCGGATGCCGAGGCAGAGTGCTGCCGCCTCACCAAGGAGAACAAGGAGCTCAAGATGCACGAGGCAGAGTGCTGCCGCCTCACCAAGGAGAACGAGGACCTCAAGATGTATATCGAGCGCATGTCCCAGCATTGGGCAGAGCTCTGTGGAGGATTCCTTCTTGTCTGACTTAGAGACGGAGGTGACCTCTGTGGACGGCGTGACCGTCAACACTTACATGTTTGATGGCGCTGTGTTCTTGATGCCCGAGGATGCCATGGACGACCTCCGCGCGGCGGTGAAAACCGTCGCTGACAAGTGGGGCTTGTCGATGTCTGTGGTGGCGATCGATGGTGACGATGCGTAAGTAGGTCGGCTGTGAGCGATGCACGGGCCAACGGCATATTCGGATAACTGTCTCTTTGGACTTACGTGTAAATAGTGGAAGGCGTTAGCGGCTGGAGGCCGCGCAACATTATATGAGCCCGTTCGTGTTCATGCTGCTGACTATGCTATGTAGATGTCCAAGAGGTGCCATGCAGATTCCACGAGGGGTGTATTTCAGCCATTCGATATGGTTCGTCCTTGTTGCACGTTGGGGGTTCCGACCCAGCCTGCAGCTGCTTTGTTCGTTCTCGAACTCGCCGAAGCGATTGAAAAAAAAAAAAAAAAAAAAAAAAAAAAAAAAAAAAAAAAAAAAAAAAAAAAAAAAAAAACTTCCCTCCTCTCCTCCACGCTCCCCTGCTCTGCCGCTTTTCCTCCTCCTTCTCCTCCCCCTCCTCCCTCCCTTGTGTTCCTCCTCTTCCGCTGGCGGAACCTTTTTTTTTTTTTTTCCTCCTCCCGCTTTCGGAGGCAGAGTTTTTTCCTTTTTTCCATGTGAAAACACAGTTTTTTCCTTATTTGTCCTTTTTTCCCTCTTTTTCGGTCTTTCCCCTGGGACGGCGGAGAAATTCGGAGGACCGAACGAGGCAGGGAAAAGAGGAAAAAAAGAAAAAATAAGGAAAAACCTGTGTTTTCACAGGGGAAAAAAAGGAAAAAACTCTGCCTCCGAGGGCGGGAGGAGGAAAAAAAGAAAAAAACTTTCCGCCTGCGGAAGAGGAGGAAAGGGAGATGGACGGAGGAGGAGGAGGAGGAGGACGACGACGACGACGGGGAGGAGGAGGAGGAGGAGGAGGACGACGAGGAGGAACAGGGAAAGACGGATTTTTCCTTTTTTTCCTCCTCCGGCCTTGGGGCGCGGAGATGTTTTCCTTTTTTTCCCTGTGAAAACACAGGTTTTTTCCTATGTTTATTTTTTTTCCTCTTTTCCCTGCCTCGTTCGGGCCCTTCAGATTTTTCCGCCGCAGCAGGGGAAAGACCGAAAAAGAGGAAAAAAATGAAAACTAGGGAAAAACTTGTGTTTTCACATGGAAAAAGAGGAAAAAAACATTGCCTCCGAGGGCGGGAGGAGGAAAAAAAGAAAAAAACGTTCCGCCTGCGGAGCAGGAGGAAAACGAGGGAAGGAGGAGGAAGCTGAAAGGAGAAGGGAGGAGGAGGAGGAGGGAGAGGAGGAGGAAGCAACATGGGGATATTGGGGGGGGGTGCGACCATATATATATATATATATATATATATATATATATATATATATATATATATATATATATATATATATATATATACACACATACACACATGCATACCTACAGACCGACAGACACACATACATACATACATACATGCATGCATGCATACATACATACAAACATACATACATACATATATACAGACAGACAGACAGACAGACAGACAGACAGACAGACAGACAGACAGACAGACAGACAGACATACAGACACACACATACATACATACATACATACATACATGCATATATACATTCAAACATACATACATGCACATATACATATACATATACATGTACACACATACCCATACACATAAGCATACACATACACATACATATACATATACATATGCATACACATATACATATACCTATATGTATATATATATGCATATGCATATACACGAACGTATACAGAAACATAAACATATGCATATACACCTACGTATATTTGTACACATACATATACATACACATACACATACACATGCACATACACCTGCACATACACATACACATACGCATACGCATACACATACACATACACATACATACATCCATGCATGTATGCATACATACATACGTACGTACATACATGCATGCATGCATGTATACATACATGCTTACATACATACACAGATGTATATGTGTATGCATCGTCCAAAACCCGCCTGCAGGAGGACATGTCCGACCTGAGAGTACTGTCGCACCGCAGGCTCCTAGAGACGGCCGCACGTGACCGAGCGCCTCTCTCCAGCGCCCGGCCCGCGGGCGTCCGCGCACGTGGTCCGTCGGACGCGTGTTCGCGGCAGGTGGGCTCCCATGTGTCCGCACGTGGGTGCAGCCATGCCAGGTGGTCAGTGGACCGAGGGCGAAGCGGGCTCGTCTCGCCAGACTGCTACGCGCTCGCAGGAGCAGGAGGAGAAGGGGGGAGCGACCAATGACAGAAGCATGAAGACTCGGAGGTCCGCGCGGATTTCTCGGATCGGCGCTGGGACCCCCTGGCGGCGTCTCCAGCGCCGTCCCTGGCGCGGCAAGAAATCCGCGCTGGCCTCCGAGTTTTTATGTTTATGTATGCTTCGTTCCCCTAAGAGAAGGGGAGGGGGCGGAGCCGCTGTTTTTGCAATCCGAGACCATTTCGCCCAGCAGGCGAAGCTCGACCAGGCATCTTAAAGGGCGATGCGTGGGGTGGGCTTTGCAGCATGATCACATGCTGTCTTCTCGCTGTCAGTCCCGTTCGGCAGGCTGGTGCGGTACTGACCTTCAGGCCGTCGCTCTGTGATCTCGTCCCGAGTTTGCGCCAGGCGTGCGGCTGCCAGTTCTAACCTTGACGCGCAGCCTGAGAATCTGAACAGGCTGAGCGAATCGGTTCTGACAATCTCGACAGCTGAGTTGAGATTGTCAGAAGGGCTAAGATCTCTGCCGCCTGGCCCCCAGACTGAGCCATGCTCTGCCGCATCGCGGCCATATTGACACAGTCTTAGGGTCTTGGGGCCTCTGGGGCCATGTTCGGGCCATCTCAAGCAGCCTTGGGGTCCTAACAGCAAGAACCCAGTAAACGGTGGGGGGGGGCTAGCTTGCCACCGTGCCCGCGGCAAACCTTGTATGGGGTTGCCCCCGCCTCACACCCCGCGCAGCTTCCATCAGTGGGGCCGCGTGGGTTCCCACACCCACCGATCATGACGGCGGCAACTGCCACCAGACGGGCCCAGGCCCTCCCGACGGCCCCTCGGCCGCCGGAGACGCCCGCAGGGAGGGGTGCCGACGTACCTCCGGAGCTCTGCTCCTCATACCCCGCAGGCGCCAAGTGCCACCATCCGGCGTGTCCCTCGCCCTCGCCCGCGGACTCCGCCGGCCGCGCGCCGCAGCGCGGCGCCGGGTGCCGGAGAAGCGCCCGGGTCGGAGCCGCCGAGGCCGCCGCAGCGGCCGGGGACCCACGCAGCCCTGCGAGGAGCGCCGGGCTCGCCCTCGGGGACCCGCGCCGCGGCCTGCGGGGCGGCTTACCAGCTCTGGGCTTCCTCTGCGAGGGGGGGCAGTGCCCTTGGCGTCTGCTGCCGCGCGCTGCCGTTGGGCGTCGGGCAGCCCGGGTCTCCGGAGCGTGCTGGCCAGTGGAGTCGGAACAAAAAGAGCACGGGGGAAGCAGGCTGTGCGGGCGTCCCTCGCGGGGCAGCCCAGAGAGGGGACGAGCGAGGAAGCCACCGACAGGGAAAGCGGCCGCCGGCGAGGGGGGCGAGCGAGGCAGCCCACATCCCAAGCACCGCCCGGCGGGTTCCATGCAGGCATCTCTGGCGTCCGCTCCTCGGCCCCTGCGTCCCAGCCTCCCGCCGTTGGCCCCGCTCACGCGGGGCAGCTCTGCGGGGCCCCTGGAGGGCTGCGCTGCACTTCCTCAGGACCGGGAGCACGCCGCCCGTGGGGTGTCCCCATAGCGTGGCCCCTGCTCCCTCGATCTTGGGACGTGGCACGACCGCCCGTGCACCACTGCCGAAGGTGACCTCGAAATGCTACAGCACCTGGCCCAGGTCAGGGACAACGGTTGGCGTCGCCTGCGATCGCCTCTCGGCTGGGAGTGTCCTGAACGCACGACGTCTTCGGAGAAGGAGGGAGGAGGAGGAGGAGGAGGGAGGAGGAGGAGGAGGAGGAGGAGGAGGAGGAGGAGGAGGGGGAGGAGGAGGAGGCGGAGGACCAGTGTAAACCGAAGAGGCATCAACTAGGTTGGAATTAACCCTCCCTCCATCTCCCTCTTCATATGCCACTACAACGGAGAACTGCCTCGTTGAAAGACAGCCGCTTGAAGACCTTGGAGCATGCTAAAACATTGTTCTCGGGACTTCCACGCCACGGATCAACCTGACTGTTGCGTCCTGGCGATCTGGAGTCGTGCCTGAACGCCGTTTTTGGGACTTCAGCACCACGAACCAATATAACTGTTGCACCCGCGTAAACACAGTTTCCTGCACGCTGATAATGGAAATCCGTAAAAAAAAAACTATTTAAACAACGAATGTGCGCGGCGCTATGGCGAGAGCCACACTTGGAGAAGAAACCGCCCTCAATCCGAGAAACAACGAATGTGTGCGGCACTAAGGCGAGAGCCACATTTTGAAAACGACCCGCCTTCAATCCGTGAAACTCTTGCCATGTGTTACACGCATGTGCGCGGCGCTAAGGCGAGAGCCACATTTGGAAAGCAACCGCCCCCAAGCCGTGAAATGTTGGCAATTTTCTTTATCGAATGTGCGCGGCGCTAAGGCGAGAGCCACATTTTGAAAACCACCCGCCCTCAATCCGTGAAGCTCTTGCACATGTTTAGAAAGAATGTGCGCGGCACTAAGGCGAGAGCCACATTTTGAAAACGACCCGCCCTCAATCCGTGAAACTCTTGCAGTTCTGTCAAACGGAAGTGCGCGGCGCTAACGCGAGAGCCACATTTTGAAAAGGAACCGCCCTCAACCCGTGAAACTCTTGCACATGTGTAAAACGAATGTGCGCGGCACTGAGGCGAGAGCCACATTTTGAAAACATCCCGCCCTCAATCCGTGAAACTCCTGCAGTTGTGTGAACGAAAGTGCGCGGCGCTACAGCGAAAGCCACGTTTTGAAAAGGAAAAATTGTTGCAAATGTTTGTAACGAATGTGCGCGGCGCTAAGGCTCGGGGGTGGACAGACCTCCTACCCTGACACGTCGATTCAGGAATTGGCCGTTTTCGGTTCGCGAGAGGGCGTCGCGGCCGTCATTTTTGCGGGTCCAGGTCCGTCGGTTTCGGTCCCAGGCCGTTTTCACTAAGGGGAGGTCTACTAAAGGGAGGTTTGTCCACCGCCGAAAGGCGAGAACCACATTTTGAAAACTACCCGCCCTCAATCCGTGAAACTCCTGCAAATGTTTAAAACGAATGCGCGCGGCGCTAAGGCGAGAGCCACATTATGGAAAAGAACGCCCCCTATATGTGAAATTGCTGTCATTGTTTAAGCTTCAGAGTCATTCATGGTGAGGAAGTCTCAGGCGAAACGCCCGACGCGGCTGAAAAACTGGCCTCGGGGTGCGACATGGAAGAGTTACTTGTAAGGAAAAGGAATGGAGGAGGAGGAGGAGAAAGAGGAGGACGAAGCGGAGGAGGAGGAGGAGAAGGAGGAGGAGGAAGAGAAGGAGGAGCAGGAGGAGGAGAAGGAGGAGGCGGAGGAGGAGGAGGAGAAGGAGGAGGAGGAGGAGGAGGGAGGAGGAGGGGGAGGAGGAGGGGGGAGGAGGAGCAGGGAAACCGTCTCTGGCGTTTGTGCGAAAGTGTGACGCATGCTTCCGTCCATTCTCATACTCCCGTCCTGGTCACCCATCGTGCCACCCCCTCGTGTCTTCCGTCCCCTTGGAAGTCCACTCCCACCACATGGGCTGCCATGAATGCAGCTCTCGTGCATGTTGTAAGTTGCCCAGATGGGCTGCCATGGATGCAGCTCTCAGTAGACCCGCGGGTACTTGCCCACAGGAAGTTCTGGCCTACAAGGTGGAGTTGTTTGACCTTGACTCTGGCGAGAGTGGGGATGAGGGTGGATGCCAGCACGGGGAAGTGCCATCATCGTTCCTTCTGTCTCTCGTCGCTCGCTGCACTGCGGCCGCGCGCGCACTGGGCGTCGGAGGGACGGACCCGTGTGGTGCCGCGGGCACTCCCACAGGGGAGGTGGGGGGTGACTGTCGGCGTCTCTCCCTCTGCACTGAATTTCTATCCTCAGGAAAGGCTGCTTGAACCAATCGCCTGAAGCTCGAGAGAGAGAGGGGGAGAAGGAGGAGGAGGAGGAGGAGGAGGAGGAGGAGGAGGAGAGGGAGTGGGTTGAGCGATGTCGCTCGCACCTGGCGCAGCAGGCCGCAGCCCCCGTGGCGCGGCAGAGGCTTCCGCACCCCGGCACCGGTGCGCCCACCCTGGCCCCGCGAGGGAAGCCGCCCCCTTGCCGCTGCCCTGCGCATTCAGCTCCGGGAGACACCCGTGGCCACCGCTGGGGCTGCGACCGGGGCGGCCACAGACACAGACACAGACACAGACACAGACACAGACACAGACACGACACACACACACACACACACACACACACACACACACACACGCACGCGCACGCGCACACGCACACACACACGCACACGCACACGCACACGCACACGACACACACACACACACACACACACACGCGCACACGCACACGCACACGCACGCACACACACACACACACACACACACACACACGACACACGACACACGACACAGGACACACGACACACGACACACGACACACACACACACGACACACACACACACGACACACACACACACGACACACACACACACACACACACGACACACACACACACACACGACACACACACACGACACACACACACACGACACACAGACTTTTTTGCGTCGGCGGCTAGGCAGAGTGACTGCGCTGGCGGAAGCGCAAATGGCAAATGTTGGACGAACAGTCGCGAAGCAGGCCGCGATGCACGAGGGGAGGAGGGGAGGCGAACACAAACAGACACACACACACACGACACACGACACACACAGACACACAGACACACACGAGAAATACAGACACACACACACACACACACAGACACACACACACACAGACACACACACACACACACACACACACACACACACACACACGCACACACTTGCTTCGGCGTCGCGGCCACGCGCGCAGCAGCGCGGCGAAGCCGGGCGCAAAGGTCGAGGGAGGCGCGCTGACCGACCCGGCTCACCCACGCGCGACTCGATCCTCGATCCGGCGACCCTCGAGGATCGAGGGGAAGGAGGAGGACGATGAGGAGATGGAGGAGGAGGAGGAGGAGAAAGGTTGTTCGGGGAGGAGTCGTCACTCCGAGCCCCAGTTCGGCGTGTCCTAAGCTGTCTTGTGCGTTTGCTCAGCGGCCCCTGTCTCGCTCGACTCCTGTGTTTGGGCGCGTTTGCCACCGGGCCTCGATCGTAGAGTGCCCACTGCGCGGGCGCGTCATGCCGGAGCAGAGGGCCCCCCAGCCCACGGAGGCGCTGGTTTGGCATCGTCCACAAGTGCTGGAAGTTCACCGACTGGGAGAAGCGCCTGGCCGACCAGGAGTCGACCTCCGCGCGGGCCCCGGCGCGCCCTGCGGGCGCAGGCGCGATCTGCGGCCCCGCGGTCCATGGCGAGCGATGTGTTCTCGTGCGCTTGTTGTGGTCATTCCTGCTTTCAGCCTGTGCGTACGGTTCGAGCACTCGAGCTGTAGATTTGCAAGCCACAGGTGATGGCCTTGGCGGTTTGGGCCGCGCTCGTCCTCGCATTCCCACCCCCAAACCATGTACGCATGTAGCTCCAGTTTCTTGGCATGTCGTCTCCACTGCTCCGAATACGGCTGACCTCATCAAGCTTAATCGGGCTTACTACCCTCGCTCTGGCTTCACACTGCGTAGTCGCACCCGTTGAAAGATCCCAGGACCTGCCACCTGACGCCCTACCCCGGCCGCTGCTCCTGCCATGAAAGTTGTCCATGCCACTACCGGCTCCTCGTCGTTTCAAAGTTTTCCTCCTCCTCCACGCACGTCGCCGTGATCCTCCCCTCCTCCACGATTTCCGCCTCACTCTTCCTCTCCCAGAGTTCCTTTCCCTCCATTACTAAGCCTCCTCCATGGAGAGGGAGGAGAGCTCGGCCAGCGGGTCTCCTCCGCGGATCCCACCTCTCTTCTGGCGTGGCGGCCGTTACTCTTGAAACTGTTCCTGCGCAAGTGTGAGCCATGTGTTGTTTCAGCTCGGCAACCTGCCGAACTGCAGGATTATCTATACGGTGCGTTTCGCCTCTTCCTTTCGGTCTCCAGCTCCGCCTCTTCATCCCCGTCCTGCTCCTCCCCATGCTCAACCTCCTCCCAGCCCTCCTGGTCCTCCTCCTCCTCCTCCTCCTCCTCCTCCTCCTCCTCCTCCTCCTCCTCCTCCTCCTAGTCCACACTATCCTCCTCGTCCTGGTCCCTGCTGCTCCTCCTCCTCCTCCTTCTCCTCCTCCTCCTCTTGCTCAACCTCGTTCGTTGTTTTCTTATCCGTACGAGTCGCGTGTTTACGAGTATTTTCTTTATTGGCATAAGTCATGTCATTATCTCCATTCGCCTGATTCCTGTTCTGATTATTAGTTCAGTATTACCATCTGCTGTTGTATTCTCATCACTGTGATCAGCACTTGTATTACCAGTTGCATCCATATCACTATTCCTAGTCGTAGCATCACGGTTCGCATCTTCATCATGATGATGCTCACTATTCTTATTGATCTATATCTAGACGTTGCATTCCTCTGATTTCTAATCACATGCGTGCTCTTCTCACTGAGGAGATCATTATTATTCGCGTCCTCCGCGTCGCCTTCGCTCCTCCCCCCTGATCCCAATCCCCGCACCCCAATCTCACCCCTGCCTCCTCTTCGGACCCGCTTTGCAGGAGTAAGAGGGGGCGGACAACGAAGACGACGACGCCGCCTCCCTTGGCGCCGAGCCGAGGTGCAGATCCTTGCCCCCACCGACGCATCTGGACGCCAGCTCTCGGAGAACCGGCACTACAGGATGGTCAGCCAGCAGCGAGGCGGGAACCCCAGAGATGCTGACGACGACGACGAACTCGACGACGACGACGAGGACGAGGACGAGGACGACGACGACGACGAACTCGACGACGACGACGACGACGACGACGACGACGACGACGACGACGACGACGGCGACGGCGACGGCGACGGCGACGGCGACGGCGACGGCGACGACGACTGCAGCGGCGACCTTGAAGGCGAGGAAGGCGACGACGACGGCGACGGCGTCGACGACGACGACGACGAAGACGAAGACGGCGACGACGACGAAGAGGACAACGACAACGACGACGACTACGAACTTTCTGTTTTGTCGTGGAATAGTTAAACGCACGAATCGGTCAAGCTAGCGCAGGGCCCTAGGGAGGCGAGGAACGAACAGCTGTTCCCTGTGGACAGCTGCCGCGGTGCGCCGCGCGAGCGCTGCAGAGCCCCCGCACGACGCAGGAGAAACCCAAAACAAAAAAAACGAGCGCAGGGCCACAGGTGGTAGTTTTCTTATTCGTTGTTTTGACGATCGGCGCGGGTCCTCGCACCCCCCCCCTCACCCCCCCTCCATGGTCCATGGAGTAGGTCTTGGCTGTTTTTGGCGCCTGCTTCGAGCAGGTGAAGCCTCTCCCACAGGACGCACTGCTGCAGGCATTCGCACTAAGCAGAGGTCCAGAGCTAGACCCCCCCCCTTCCGCAATGTCGAATCGCCGAATAAGAAAACGCTCACCAGCGGAGCGAATTGTGCACCAGATGGACAGTAATAGAGGGGGAGACGCGGCTGCGGAACAGGTATAGTAGAGGCTGCACCCTCAGAACATGTAATTGCTGAACCAGAACTCTGCGGTCTCAGGCTGCTGGTGGCCCTGCGAAGGTTAGTAGACGACTGCGGACACGAAGATGGCGAGTACCAGTCCCCAACGGTTGCGGATAAGAGTGAGGGGGTGCCGGGGCTGGCGCGAATAATGGGGTTTTCCATGTACTGATCTCCAGAAGCATGTGGTAAAAGCAAGGTCGCGGAGGGGTCGCCTCGCGGGTGGGTCGTGGGTGGGTCTCGGCGCTGGCGGGTCGCTCGCTGGTCTGTCGCTTGCGGGTCGTGAATGGGTCGCGGCGAGCGTCGGGTGCGACGACGATAAGAGAACAACAAGAGCAATAATCTCACGACCATTTGTGATCCAAGAGGCGGGTTCGATCTGCAATGCGTTTCCCCCTCTCCCCTCTCCCTCGCACCCGCCCTCTAAGTCTATGAACGCATCTCCTTTGGATTTTGTTCTTCCATTCCAGCTCTGGGTCTCAGGCGGGAGCCGTTGCTGTTGCAGCCGCACCTTCAAGCGCAAAGCGTGTTGTCGGAGTAAATTGCGACGAGGTCCAAGGCGAAAGCACGACCCCTGAGCAAATCGCAAGGATGTATCGGGCGGGAGCCGATGTTGTTTTGGTCCGGCCTTCTCAAGGGGACTGATAATGTGTGAAGAAGTCCCAAGCACATTCGTGTGGTAACTGCGGGGAGAAATTGCGAGTCCTGCGTAAATTACGAGGAAGCCTCAGGTGGGAACCGTCGTTGTTGCAGCCAGGACTTCGAGCGTGAGCTTCGTTTGAGAGCGCTCCTTCAATCTTCTGCAGATCGACAAATGTTGCTCTCCAGAAATAAGTGTCCAATGACAATCCACATCACAGAACCCCACTTCAGCCACGCCAGCGACGACGACGCCCTTATTGACGACCACGCCGCCGTCGCCGACAACGACGACCTTGACGACAACGGCGCTGGTGTCGTTGTCGTTGTCGTCCGTCGCCGGGGGAGAAGGAGGTGGGGAAGACGAAAGGGGTGCAGATGGGGGAAGGGAAGGGGGAGGGAGGAGGACGAGGGCAACAGGGAGGTGGATGTGGAGGGAGCAGGATGAAAGTGGTGACGCGAAGGGGGAAGGGGGGAAGGAGGGAACAGGGAAGAGGAGATAAGAGGAGGAGCAGCAGCAGGAGGAGCAACGTAAGGAGGAGGCGGAGAGGGAGTAGGAGCACCGACGGAGCAGGATTGGTAGCAGGAGCACGAGCAGAAGCAGTAGCCATCAGCATGAGGTGTAGGAAAGGAGCAGGATGAGGAAGAAGAGGGAGAGGAGCAGGAGCGGGAGTAGGAGCAGGAGCACGATCAGGAATACGAAGAGATGTTCCTGGATCTCGCCTGGCGCGCGCCGACACATTCTAGGAAGAGCGCCCGGGATTCTTTGGCACCGGGGGGGGCTGGGCCCTCTGAAATCTTACAAACCGACAAGACGACAGCCCCTCTACGACGCACAGATGTATGAGCTCGGAGGCGCTCCACTACGAGCTGAAGACACGGCGACGGATTAGTCGAGATTATAGGCCAGAAGCGGTGAGGAAGTCGCAGGTTGGACGCTTAGCCTGGCTCACCCGCAGGTCTGGTGGCACGACGAGGACGAGCTATTCCATAAGAGCGAGGGATGGAGGAGGGGGAGGAGGAGGAGGAGGAGGAGGAGGAGGTGAGGAGGACGAGGAGGGGGAGGAGGAGGTGGAGGAGGAGAAGGAGGAGAGGAGGAGGAGCAGCAGCAGGGAGCGGGACGAGGAGGATAGTGTGGACCATGAGGGGGAGGAGGAGGAGGAGGAGGAGGAGGAGGAGGAGGAGGAGGAGGAGGAGGAGGAGGAGGAGCAGGAGGAGGAGGAGGAGGAGGAGGAGCAGGAGGAGGAGGAGGAGGAGCAGGAGGAGGAGGAGGAGGAGGAGGAGGAGGACCAGGGTGCGGAGGCGGATCGGGAGGAGGGGCAGGAGCAGCAGGGGCAAGGGCCGGGGCAGGAGCAAAAGGAGAGGCAGGGACAAGAGGCGTGGAGACGAGGCAGGAGGCGGAGGAGCAGCAGCAGCAGCGGGCAGTGCCCCTGGAGGCGCGGGCGGGGGCCTGTCGACGTTGCTGGCGGTGGCCGCCAGCGAGGCGCGCCAGGAGGCTCCGAGCGACAAGACGACGACGACGACGACGACGGCGACGGAGACGGCGACGGAGACGACGACGACGACGACGCCGACGACGACGACGACGCCGACGACGACGACGACGACGACGACGACGACGACGACGACGACATCAACAACAACAACAACAACAACAACAACAACAACAACAACAACAACAACAACAACAGTCGCAGCAGCAACAACAACAACTGCAACAGTAGCAAACGTGTTAAGGCTTTCGCAATCATGCGCTCGCGTGTCACTCAACAGGTATATCCCAAGCCCTCGGTACCCGCCTTCCTCGTCTTCGAGCGTACCCCCCTTGCAGGCATATCTTCTCTACCTGCCGCGTGTTGATGGTGCAGCCCCTAGAATAGGGGAGGGGAGGGATGAGGGAAGGGACAAGCTAGGTGCGCTCGCGTCATATCTGTCGTCATACCCATCCCTCCCAAACCTTACCATGGCGCAGATCTCCTTTTTCTGCGCACAGGCTGATTTCGAGCAAGGCTATGATCCCGAGAGGAGTTGCGATGCATGGTAACGCAAGGCGTAGCATGGTGTAGAAGAGCGCGGCAGGGCAGAGCATGTCGTAGCATGGCTTGGCATTGCGTAGTGTAGAATTGCATCACAAAGCGTAACATCGTAAAGCATGGCATCGCACAGCGGGGCACAACGCAACATCGCAGTGCATGCCATAGCATGGCACCGGATGCCTTGGAGGGTAAATGGCCCGTGTACGAAAGGAAGAGGCCTGTCCGGAATCCCGGTTCCATGTCCTGCGCAACCGTGCCTGCCCGATGTGGGCGTTTTCGAATGCCAAGTGCTGTCTGGTACGGGCACTGTAATAGCGCAAGGTCCCCCCCTTCCTTTCAACACGCTGCCCTGCGTTCCCCGAGCCCCCTTCTAAGTCTCCCTGGGCTCCCCGTACAGCTGTGCACGGGGCGTGGCGGATGGCCCCAAGACTTCCAGAAGCCCTAGGGAACGCACAGAAATTGCCGACGGCGACAACGACGCAGACGACGACGGCGGCGGCGGCGGGGGAAGCTGCGGCGGGCGAGGACGGATGTCAGGGAATAGTACGGCGGGCTGCCAGGCTTGATGGTCTGGCTTCCTTGAACAATGGGCTCACACTGGGCCCCTGGACCCCTCACGGGGTCAAGTCGGATCGGCGTTTTCCGACCGGATGTTTTTTAAGGTCCCCGGGGCCCGACGAAGGGGGGGGGGCTTCTGCGGTCCAAAAAATCAGTGGATCGGCACCGAATGTGGAATCATTTATGATGGTTTTCTCGGGGGGCAATTGTTTCGATTTTGGGGCCTACCTGTACTTGGAAGGATCGACAACCATGCCGTGGCATGGCGCTGGAAATAATGACGCCAGCGCTGCGGCGGGAGCACGATTCGGAAAGAGCGGAAGCGCGGAAATGAGGCCAGCGCTGCAGCGGAAGCACGATTCAGAGGATGCGTAGCCTGACATAGCATGGCGCGGCGAAGCTTCAAAGTGGGGGGGGGCGCGTCTGCGGCTCTAAAAATCCACGAATCGACACCGAATGTGGAATCACATCCTATGGTTTCTTCGGGTTTTGTTGGGGGGGATTTGGGGGCCGATGTGGAATGATCGAAAACCATGCCGTGGCATGGCGCTGGAAATAATGACGCCAGCGCTGCGGCGGGAGCACGATTCGGAAAGAGCGGAAGCGCGGAAATGAGGCCAGCGCTGCAAGAGCACGATTCAGAATGAGCGGGAGCCCGAAAATGAAGCCAGCGCTTCAGCGAGAGCGGGGAAGAGAACACGTCTCCCGGGAATCTTGTGTGTAAAAAACCAGTGCGCGATTTCCCGGACGTCACCAGGGGAGAGAGGAGAGTAGTATTCAGATTGAATGATTGTGGGATGGAGAACGATGGAGCACGAGAGAGATTAGCAGGAGAGGGGTTTGGAGCAGAAACACAAGCGGCAGAACCAGACGGATGGGTCGGGCTGGCGGACCCCCGCGGGCGGGTCGGGCGGGCAGGCCCAGACGGAGGGTCGAGCGGGCGAGTCGCGAGTCATCCGTCCTGCACGAATCGCGAGGAAGTTTCGAGCGTTAACGCGGTCCCCAAGTAAATCGTGAGGACGTCCCAAGCTGGAGCTGGATTCATGAGTGTCGAGGGCGCGGCGTCTATCAATCGCAAAGAAGCCACACGCGAGAGTGCGATTCCTGCATAAGACGTGGGGGGGGGGGGGGGGCGCACGGAACCCCGCGATTTTGCATAGTCTGTGGGGAAGTATCAGGCGGTAGCCGCTGTTGCTGTAAACTGGGGGCCAACAATACGTTCCGACACGCAAGACTTCCCCTCGTAAAAAAAGCAAGCGAAGCCTGGAGAGGGGCACTTCAATTGAATGATACCAGAGAAAAACCCTAATTATCAGATTTTTGTTTGGGGCTCTGGGGCTGTAGGACTATAGGGTTATAGGGCTATGGGGCTACAGGGCGATCTGGGCTATATGGCTATAGGAGCATAGTGCTACAGGGCTATTGGGCTATAGGGGCTATAGGACTATGGGCTATAGGGGCTGTAGGGCTATAGAGCTATAGGGCTATAGGGCTATAGGGCTCTAGAGCTATTAGGTTTCTAGGGTTATAGGGCCATAGAGCTATAGGGGGGCTATTGGGTTATAAGGCTATATGGGTTATATGGGCTATTGGGCTATTGGGCTATAGAGCTGCTATAAGGCTATAAAGCTATATGGCTATAGGATACCCGGGCACCCCCGGGCACCTCCAGGCGCCCCCGAGCACCCGGGCACCCGGGAACCCACGGGCACCGGGGCACCCCGGCACCCGGCCACCGGCCACCGAAATATTGGGGCACCGGGCACCCATGGACACCCGGGCACCCAGGCACCCGGCCACTGGCCACCAAATCGGCGCCCCACCTCACTTATTGTAACCATATGAATACGCTGAAGGACCCCTACAGAGGCAAGCTCTGAGTGGGGAAAGAACAAAGTGCACCGGAGGGGGGGTCAACAATAGCTTTTCTTCCGAAGTCAGAAGTCAATGACGTTTTTATGGAAGTGAGGAGCCTGGCGAGAGACAGGGGACGGGGCATACCAAAGAGGAGGAGGAGCAGCACCAGCAGCAGAAGGTGCAGGAGGGAGAGGGGCATGGCGAGGGAACGGCACTTGCACGCGGTTACAGGAAGGTATAGATACAGAAATCCTTCAGAAATCCTGTTCTTCGAAAGAGCCGCCAAGGAACCTATAAGGAGTTGGCGAGGAGGCTTCACGGAGCTGCTAAGGAGCTGTCAAGGAACTTCGAAGAAACCTTTAAGGAGCTTCCAAAGCAGTTGCAATTGGAGCCACATGTGACTGGGGTTGGTACCGACATGGCTGGAACCCGTCCTAGTTGGCTGTACTTCGTCCAATGTTTGGGCGGGCCCCACCCACACAATGTTCAAACCAAGTTCAAGCCAAGCTCACACAAAGCTCAAACCAGGTTCAAACAAAGCTCAAACAGAGCTCAAACAAAGCGCAGACAAAGATCAAACAAAGCTCACAGAAAGCGTCAACAAAGCTCGAAGAAAATTCAAATAAAGCTCAAACAATGCTCAAACAAAGCTCAAACAAAGCCCCAGCAAAGCTCCAGCAAAGCTCCGACGATGGTCAAGATCGATTCGAGTTTTCGTTGGGGCGGGGAAGGGATCGTTCCCCCTCCCCCCCCCCAACCCCCAGTTTGAACTGGAGGTGGGGGAGTCTGTAACCCCCCGCCTCCTCCTGTTTGAACCGGGAGGGGGGGGGTCTGTGTTCCCCCCGCCCCCCCTTCGGTTTACGGGCAAGGGAGGCCCCCCCCCTCCTCCCGACAGAGGTCCCCCCCCCCCCGTTTCCCGCCTGCGAGGGGCTGGGGGGGGAAGTTCCCCCCCTCTCTCAAGCAGTGGCGAAGCGCCCTGGCTCGCCTATAGGCCCACCAAGCAATGTTCTAAGAACCTTGTGTCGTTTGTACGAAGTGTTCTTAGGACATTTCTGGCTGAGACTGTCGTGTTTTAGGACATGAAATTTATATCCTAAGAACCTTGATCTTGTTCTTAGAACACTTTTGGGTTCTACGAACATGTCGTGGTAGGCCTACAGGAATGCAGGAACGGTCGGTCCCTGCTCAACTCTCCGGTTTCCCGAAAGGGGGGGGCGGAATTTGTGTTCGAGGCATGCGTCGGTAGATCGCGTTCCCTCAAATGTTGGCGGCCCCTCTCCTGTGGCCGGGGGGGGCGCTGGCCGTGGACCGCGCGATTGAAGTCAGCCTTCGCGTGAGAGGAGGTAAGGTGGCGCAGGCAGCGCTGGCCCAACCCATTCTCACCGAGCGCGTTCCACAGCTCGCAAAGTGCCTCTTCGCAAACGTCCTAACAAATGCCTTCCTCTACGTACTGGATCGTACATCCCCCGCGGCGAATCCAGGCCATGTGTGTGCTTTTGCGGGTAGTGGAACGCGCTGGTCCACTTTCAACCCGTAGGCCTTACACGGTGGCCTGGAGGGTACTGCAGCACCAACCGAAATCGAGGGCTGTGACCTGGGCAAGGGCCGCCCTGCCCACAGCGCGGCAGGGCCCAGGTCGTCAACCCAGGCCGTCCAGGCGCGGAGGCACGAGCCACGGCAGCCTCGGCACGAGACCCGCTCGCGCACCTCGCACACGCCCAGCAGCCACGTGCGCAGGTCCTTATCGTGGTCCTCCTGGGTCGGAAGCTGCGGTAGCGCCAGGGGGCTCGACAGGGTTAGCCACCGGAGGGGCGCCGCCCGTCGTAGCAGCGCTGGCCGCCGGCAGCGAGGAAGATGCAGTCGGTGGGCTTTTTTTTTTTTCCCCCGGCTGGCGGTCCGCTCGCCGGTCGACTGTGCAGGGGTCCAAGGCACTGAAATTCCAGGGGCGCGTACACTGCATACCCCCCAGAGCTGGGAGGAGGGGTTAGCTACCTTTCGAAGCATGGTCTTCTTCTGTGAGCTCGTGGCCCCAGCGGGGGCAGGCTAGACAGAGAGTCCTTGCGCAGCGTGTCGCACGTAGCATGCAAGCAGATTCTCCTGGAGATCCTCGGCGATCATGTTTGCTGGAGGGTGCAGGCTCAGAGCCAAAGCGCCAGCCTTTGCACAGGCATCAGCTACTGCGAATTGAGAGGCGTCTTGGTGGACTTCTGATTTGATGATTTGTTCGCCCCTGCCCTGTGCAGGGCCGCCGAGAATCCCAAGATTGAGACTTGAGTGCATGTCGGAGGGAATATATGCGTGATTCGTGTGCGTGACTCCAGTCCCACCTGGCTCAGGCAGTCGGAAGTTATACCTACACACATTTACACACATATACATACCTACATACATACATGCATGCATGCATACATGCATGCATGCATACAAACATACCTACATACATGCAGAAAGACAGACAGACAGACAGACAGACAGACAGACAGACAGACATGAATGCATGCATGCACGTACGCATGCATGTATACGTACATGCATACTTGATTACATATATGTATATATGTGTGTATGTATGCATACATACATACATACGTACGTACGTACGTACGTACGTACATACATACATACATACATACATATATGCATACGTACATACATACATACATACATACATACACACACATACACACAGACATACATATATACATACATACATACACGCTAACATGCATACATACATACATACATACATACATACATACATACATGCGTACATACATGCATACATGCATGCATGCATACATGCATGCAGACAGACAGACAGACAGACAGACAGACAGGCATGAATGTATGCATGCATGCATGCACGTACGCGTGCATGTGCACGTACATAAATATTTGCTTATCTATATACATACATACAGACAGACAGACAGACATACATGCATACATGCATGCACACATACATGCATGCATGCATACATACATACGTACACGTACGCACACATGCATGCATGCACATATGTACAGGCACAGACACATATACACATGCATGCATACTCACGTACATACCTGCATATGTATATATATATATATATGTACACACAGATGGGTTCGCAAGCATGCATACACCCATGCATACACATAAACATAGATACAGGCATACGTACATGCATGCATGCCTGTCTGCATGCATGCATACATACATACATACTTGCATGCATGCATGCATACAGACAGACAGACAGACAGACATAACGTAAACTGGGAGGTGGGCCCTGGGGGAGGGCGAAGTACTCTGATTTGGGTTCCCGGCCGTTTGCCCACCCTCTTGGCCAGCCCTGGCCCTCCCCTGGCGCTTCCAGTTGTTCTTCCTACCGATCGACGACAGCCCGAGGTGAGTCGAAGACGGACGAAAATTGCACCAAGATTTCTCAAGAGAGCCTCAAGACAGCAAAAGAAAGCTTCCGGAAAGCCCGAGGAACTCCAAGACGGCGTAGGAGGGCCCCAAGATGGTTCCCAATAACGCGCGAAGGCGCAAAAATCAAGGGTGTTCCTTGGGTTGTTGAAGGTTTTCGGTGTCCTCGCCTTTTCGGGCGCATGGCAGCCCAAGAGAGCCCAAGGGGCCTCCGAGGCTCCCAAGAGAGCCACAAGAGGGCCCAAGAGAGCTCTAGGATGACCATATGGGCCCTCAAGACAATCCCAGGATGGCCCGAAGACGGCCCGACAGCCCTCTAAGAGAGCCCAAAGGGATCCCGAAGCCAGCCTCTGAAGGCGTCAGACGGGCCACGAACGCCCTAAGACAGCCCAAGAGAGCCTCAAGAGGCCCTAGGAGGCCCACAAGGAGCCCCCAAGAGGCCCCAAATGGGCACCCAGGAGGCTTTAGCTCATTTGTTCTTGCACCCACAATGTGTGCACAACCTTTCTGCTCCGTTCTGCCTTCTCAGCAGATGGCCCGCTTCTCGTCTGCAGACCTCCTCCCTCATCCCGTCTCCCTCCTCAGCCCTCCCTGCTCCCCGCTCCCTCCTCATTCCTCCCTCTTCCCTTCTCCTTCACTCCAACCCTTTGGCTGCATGACAGGATCCGTGGCTCGGAATAGAAGAAGAGTTTGGAGGGGCAGAAGCCCGCCCACCTCGATGCCATCGGCCCCCTTTCTTTTATCCCCCCCCGCTCGCCCCCGGTGGGCATCCGAGAGGGCCCGGAGAGGTGTTTCAAGACGGCCAAAGAGGCCTCCACGACGGGCCCAGCAGACACCGAGATGGCCCACGAGCGCTCGAAGACGGCCAAGATGTCGTAAAGTAGGCCCAAGAGATCTCCCAAACGCCCCAAGAGGGCACCAAGAGAGCAAAACCTTTGTTGTGCCGTCCGCTATGGGAGCCTCCGAGCTCGTTCCAGCACGGCCCAAGAGGCTCCCAACAGGGCCCCAAGACAGCCTGAGGAGGGCCCAAGAGAGCCCCAAAACGCCCCCAAAAGAGCCCCATAAATGAGCGTAGGAGGCTTCCAAAAGGACCCAAGGAAGCCCCCAACAGATCCCCAAGGTAGCCCAAGACTCTCAAGGCAGCCCAAGAGGGCCCCAGGACGGCCCAAGAGGGCCCCAAGATCGCCCAACAGAGTTCCAAGAGGACCCAATACAGCCTAGAGAGGTTCCTCTTTCGGACTCTTTGACTTCACTTTGGCCGCCCTGAACTCTTCTCGTGGCTACCTTGTGCGCCTTCCCTCGGAGGGAATCTCGGCGCATCTGGGGCCGTGGGTGGAGCTCCCCATTGGGCACGATCCGTGTGTGAGGTGTGCCGAAGTAGGCGGGGGGGCGGGGTGCGAACCTTGTCTCTTGGGCCGTACGTAGTAGGTGAAACCCTTTGCGGGGCATGATTCCTGCGAGCGGAGTGCCGATGTGAGCGGGGCGATGCTATGTCAAGCTTCCCTCTTGTGTCGCAAGTGCAGTTACCTGCGGGGCACAATCCGCGCGAGGATTGTGCCGCTATGCGAACCCTGACTCTGGGTCCGTACGTGGAGCTCGCTATAGGGCGTGCAGAGACGTGCGTGAGACGCTACACATGCGAACCCTAGCTCTTGGGCCGTAGGTGGAGCTCCCTGAGGGACACGATCGGTGTGAAGGATGTACCGAAATAGGCGAGGGGGCATTGTTGAGATATGTATGCCCACAATTGCGCAGGTGTTCCCATGTGGTAATTGTTGTTAGATGGTGTGCGTGCGCATCCGATAATTGATATGACGCTGGCATTTGCCTGGGCTATAAGTGCACGATCCGTGTGAAGGATGTGCCGAACTAGGCGGAGGGGAGCGCTATTGAGATATGCATGCCCACGATTGTGCAGGTGTCCCCATGTGGTGATCGTGGCGGGATCGTTGATATGAGGTTGGCTTTGCCTGGGCCGGAATCTTAGCGCGCAGGAAGGGCGCACGTGGTCTTAGTGTGTGTACTATATATATATGTATATATATATATATATATACATATACACGGGGGAGCGCGTGACTATGACGAGCAATTCCACGTGCTCAGCAGCCAGGGAGGTGTTTTGTTTTCTCTGGGAGGTGTTGTTTTTCTTTCTTGATTACGTATACGAAAATAGTGCAGCTCCCACTGGCCCGTGGAGGGTGGCCTTTAGCTCCCCCGTGTCATTCACTTTGACTACGGCCAAGACAGCCGTGTGGTGAGTCTGCGCCCCATCTGTCATGCAACTCACGTCAGGAGAAAAAGCGGTGCTTGCGAAAGCACCGGATCTGGTCGGGTCGTGTGCGGCGCTCCAAGATGTGAAAGGGGCATAGGGAGGGAGGGAGGGCGAAGAAAGAGGACGAGGAGGAGGAAGGAGCAAACACGGAGGTGGGAGGCGAGAAGGGGAAGAAGCGGACGGGAGGAGGGAGGCCCTCTGGACACTGCACGGGCGGCTCGGGCCACTCGGGCGGAGCGGCGAGGGAGAGGCGGAGCAGGAGGAGGAGGAGGAGCACCCACGCCGAGCGCGGCGAGCCCCGAGGCCACGCTGCCCGCGGCTGCGCTCCCGCCCGCGCCCGCCGACTCGGAGGCGGAGTACCGCGCGTACCTGAACCAGAAGGCCGCCGATGCCGCTCCGCACGGGGCCGCTCGCCACGCGGAAGGGCGGGCTATGATGATTCTTCACCATTTATATGATTCTAAAAAGGGGCAACGGTTTCACAGATGGAGGGCGAGGCGTCTTCAAAAAGTGGCTCTCGCCTTAGCGCCACGCACATTCGTTCTAAAAAGTCGCAAGAGCTTCACGGATTGAGGGCGGGGCGTTTTCAAAATGTGGCTCGACCGTTCGCCATGCTTGAGGGCGGGTCTTGGGGGAGGCGGGCCCCAAGGCTTTTGCTGGTTTTCGGGCCTCCCACGGGCCTTCCGCGGGCCCTGGGGCTGTCAGGGAACGGCTCGGTATCGAGATCTCGTCCCGGGGGGAGGCCCCGGGGTCCAGGACCTGTTTCCCTTTTGGGCCTTCCACGGGCCTTGGGGTCCAGGACCTTTTCGGGCCTCCCACGGGCCTTCCACGGGCCCTGGGGCTGCCAGAGAACTGCTCGGGATCGAGATCTCGTCCTGGGGGGAGGCCCCGGGGTCCAGGACCTGTTCCCTTTTGGGCCACCTGGGGGGCGCGTCGTGGGGGCGGCCGGCGATACGCGTCGGGTTGGGTGATTGGTGAAGCGTGCAAAGGGTCGTCGGGGTGGGCGTCGGGAAGGGTGTGGGGCTGGGCGTCAGTTAGTGTGTCGGGAAGGTCGTCGGGTGGGGTGTCGGCGGGGGCGTCGGCAGGGGCGTCGCTTGGCGCAGCGGAAAAGACGGCGGGAGGGGCGGCGGGGGCGGCGAGGGTGGTCGGGACGGTCGTCTGCGGTGTCGTACGTCGGCGTAGTGTGGCCTGCGGCATGGCGTTGTCGATGGCCTGTTTGACGCATGCGATGTCGGGGTAAGGTACCGTAGGTCGGGCCGCAGCTGCCTCCAGGTAGTCATAGCTGTCGTTCGTCTCCGCTGGGATGAAGGTGGCCGCATACGGGTTCATCATGTGATCGGTGTTGGTGCTGGCGTCTGCTCTTGTAGCGGCGGCGTCTTGCTGGGGTCTGGCTCTGTAACTGGCCAGGAGTGTTGCAGTGTCTTTGGCGGAGACGACGTGCCCTTTTCGTGCCGCGTATGCGATGCGGCACCTCGCAGATGACGTGAGATTTATGGTCCGTGATGTCGGTGTTGACGTCCTCGGCCCCATTCCACCTATGGGGACGGTAAGTCTCGGCCGAGGGCCCGTATGCTCGTAGTTCTTGGTCTCGCACTTCTTCGCGGGCATCCAGGCCGACATGGCGCGCAGTCCTGGCGCCGCGCTGGTCGCCGCCTCGGGCGGGGGGCTGGCGGGCCCCCCCTCCGGGCGCGGGGGGGAAGAGTACCCGCATATGGCGACTCCTCCTCCTCCTCCTCCTCCTCCTCCTCCTCCTCCTCCTCCTCCTCCTCCTCCTCCTCCTCCTCCTCCCCTCCTCCTCCTCCTCCTCCTCCTCTCCTCCTCCTCCTCCTCTCCTCCTCCTCCTCCTCCTCCTCCTCCTCCTCCTCCTCCTCCTCCTCCTCCTTCTCGTCCTCCTCCTCCTCCTCCTCCTCCTCCTCCTCCTCCTCCTCCTCCTCCTCCTCCTCCTCCTCCTCCTCCTCCTCCTCCTCCTCCTCCTCCCCCCCCCAGAGGGCCTCCAGGCCCCGAGATTTGCACCTCTCTTCCCCCACCCCCCTGTTGCCGCCCCCCCCCCAGTCAGTGACTCCCGAGCGGTGACCGGCGCCGCCGGCACAAGGCCGCGGCGGAGGGGGAAAAAAAGAAAACAAAAAAAACTCACGGATGCCAAGCATCGTCGGATCCCTGGAGAGAATGGGAAACGCTGGCAGGTGGAAGGGGGGGCAACTTGAAGTTGTGGAAAAAACGTCGGGGCTCCTGCGAGTTGTGTCCGTCTATCTGTGTGTCCCATTGGCCCCGTTCCGTGGAGGCGGAGGCCGGCTGGGGGCACGCGGGGGCGGGGGCCCCGCGCGAGGGGGCGCCGCCGGCCGTGCCCAGGGGGGTCCGTCAGATTCGGGCGAAGGGCTCGAATGCAAAGGGGGTCACCTCCCCCTCCTCCTCCTCCTCCTCCTCCTCCTCCTCCTCCTCCTCCTCCTCTCCTCCTCCTCTTCCTCCTCCTCCTCCTCTCCTCCTCGTTCTCCTCCTCCTCCTCCTCTTCCTCCTCCCCCTCCTCCTCCTCCTCCTCCCCCTCCTCCTCCTCCTCCTCCTCCTCCTCCTCCTCCTCCTCCTCCTCCTCCTGGCCTCCCTGGCCCGTGGGAGAGGCCGCGCGCCGGGAGCCACAGGGGGCGAGCCGCTGCAGTTTGGTTCCGGCCACACTGCGAAAGACACCCCTGGCCTGGAACCAAGTTCGGGGCCGGCCATGTCATGGGATGGGGCACAGTCGAGGCGCTGAGGTCAGAAGCGGTTCAGATTCGGAGGGGGCTCTCGTTGCTCCTAAGAGGGTCCTTCCATGGCTCTTGCTCCTGGCTCCCAGTGCACCCAGTTGCTTCTGGGGCCCCTTTACGGCAGCACGGTGACTGTATGAAATGCATTCTGCATCCCGGTTTGCGAGACCTTGCATCGAGGCCCTTGGGAAAAAGGCAGGGGTACCAAACTGGCTTGTCAGCAGATGCCCCTTGGATGCTTCTTCTCGGCGACCCTGGGGATTCGCCCGAACCCAGGGGCGCCTTGGGAACGCGATGAACGATTGATGGAACACATGCTCTCAGTACGCGACATGTCTCCTTTACGCACCTACTGTAGGATGGAAGCACCTTCCTTTGTTGGGCTGCAGGGTGCAGGTCGCGGTCGCCAGCGAGCAAAGTGCCGCGAGATATCATGGTTGGAGGTCGCGGCTGCAGGCTCAACGGATGGCGGAGAGCCCCAGGTCGGTCGGTCCGACCATTTAGGAGGTTTGTTCCCTGACATCCTCTTTCCCCCCACCCTCTCCGCAGAAGGCGTCTATGCACTCTGTGTATCCGGGTGCTCATGCCCTTCCCTGCCTTCGCCGCCCCTGTTCCAACCCTCCCCTCCCCCCTACCGTCCCGTCCGCTGCCCCCTCTCACCGCGCCACCTCCCTCTCTCGCTCCTTCGCTACTACATCCCCTTCCCCGCTTCGCCCATCCTCCTGCTCCACATCCCCCCTCGCACCTGAGGTTCCCTGATGCTCTTTGTGGCCTCCTACTGGGTCTCCTGCTGGGCCTCTCCTGGGCCCTCCTGGGGCCTCCTGAGCCCTCCGTGGACCTCCTGAGCCCTCCAGGGGCCTTGGGCCTTCAGGAGCCCAGTGGCTTCCTGGAGCGTCGTCGTCATCGTGATCGTGGTTGTGGTTATCCAGTGCCGCGGAGGCCCAAACCCCGCGAGAGATGATGGCAGTCGTGAACTCTGCGTGCCTTCATACCGCGTTATCATTAGTATACTTATCATTAATGCTATATGATTAGGATTCGTATTGTGATTCCTGATAATATTGTGATCACTAGCATTACGACTTCGATTGATATTAGCATTCCTATTATTAGTCGTAGTAGTGGGAGTCGTAGTAGTAGTAGTAGTAGTAGTAGTAGTAGTAGTAGTAGTAGTAGTAGTAGTAGTAGTAGTAGTAGTAGTAGTAGTAGTAGTAGTAGTAGTAGTAGTAGTAGTAGTAGTAGTAGTAGTAGTAGTAGTAGTAGTAGTAGTAGTAGTAGTAGTAGTAGTAGTAGTAGTAGTAGTAGTAGTAGTAGTAGTAGTAGTAGTAGTAGTAGTAGTAGTAGTAGTAGTAGTAGTAGTAGTAGGAGGAGGAGGAGGAGGAGGAGGAGGGAGGAGGAGGAGTAGGAGTAGGAGTAGGAGTAGGAGGAGAGGAGGAGGAGGAGCAGTAGTGGTAGCAGCAGCAGCAGCAGCAGCAGCAAGCAGTATAGTAGAGTACTAGTAGTAGTAGTAGTAGTAGTAAGTAGTAGTAGTAGTAGTAGTAGTAGTAGTAGTAGCAGTAGCAGTAGCAGTAGTAGCAGTAGCAGTAGTAGTAGTAGTAGTAGTAGTAGTAGTAGTAGTAGGAGTAGGAGTAGGAGTAGGAGTAGGAGTAGTAGGAGTAGTAGTAAGTAGTAGTAGTAGTGTAGTAGTTGTAGTCGTAGTCGTAGTCGTAGTCGTAGTCGTAGTCGTAGTCGTAGTCGTAGTCGTAGTCGTAGTAGTAGTAGTAGTAGTAGTAGTAGTAGGATACCAAGACTATCAAATAGTATTAGTATTATGCGGTTTAGTATCATAATTAGATATATAATAATTACTAGTACTAGCAGTGTTAATGTTACTAGTGTTAGTATCAGTATCCATATGAATAAGTAAAATTGATGGTCGTATCCATATGTGTTGTATGATTGATCTCATCAGTTGTATTACTCATCTATATAACTGTAGTTTTATGAGTAGCCGTATGTTATTAGTAGTAACAGAATTAACACGAATACTGTTGATAGTTGTATTACTGGAATGCGCAGTAGTAGCATTATTCGCAGGCGTATTGGTAGTATTCGTATGAGATTTAGTATTAGTTGTACGCGTGGTATTAGTAATATGGTTGCACATAGTTTTAGTACACGTTCTTATTAGTATACATCTGCATTGTTAATCGCTGTAGTATGACTAGTAGTAGTAGTAGTAGTAGTAGTAGTAGTAGTAGTAGTAGCAGTAGTAGTAGTAGTAGCAATAGCGTCAGTATTTCGATGCATAATAGCATTTGTATGCGCAGTAGGAATATTGTGAGTAGCATTAGTAGTATTGGTATTTCTTGAAATAGTAGTAGTAGTAGTAGTAGTAGTAGTAGTAGTAGTAGTAGTAGTAGTAGTAGTAGTAATCATAATAGTAGTAGTAATAATAGTAGTAGGACCAGTAGTGATAGTAGTAGTAGTAGTAGTAGTAGTAGTAGTAGCAGTAGCAGTAGCAGTAGCAGTAGCAGTAGCAGTAGCAGTAGTAGTCGTCGTAGTAGTAGTAGTAGTAGTAGTAGTAGTAGTAGTAGTAGTAGTTAGTCGTCGTATTATGTATATGCTTATTTCTCCTAGTAACATAACTGTTAGTGGTTATCCTGTGGTGATGGTCATCGTCGTCCTCGTCGCCGTCGTCGTCCGTCAGTCTGCCGGTGGCCCAGCCGTGGAGGCTCTCGGTTGGCACATCTGGCTGCCGCGCGAGTACAGCACAGCGGAGCGCGTGGACCTGGGCCTCGTCACCCCACCCTACCCCCCCTGCAAGGGCAGTGCTCGGCCACGCGCAGAGGGGGGCAGGGGGAAGGGGGGAAGGTTTCTTAGAAGCACCCCTGCTTCGTAGAAGGCGCTGGCCTTGTCACTAGATGTAGGCCCCGTGCCTTCTACGAAACAGCCTCCTTCTAAGAAGCCTACTCCCCTCCCCCCTACCCCCCTGTGCGCGCCGCCGAAGTGCAGGAGAGGGCAGTGCGGCGGCAGGGGCAGTCGCGCCGACAGCAGCACCGGTCGTCTCCCCAGCCACTGCGCCGCCTCCGCAGCAGCCGATGCCAGAACAGCCGCCCCGGCAGCAGCGCTCCACGAATAGGCTGCATGAACAACTGCCGTTCTTGTTCCCGATGTTTGCAGTCTGTGCCAGCGGCGAGCTGCTGAGGGCCATGCGGTCGTTCCTTTGTTGATCGCTTCTGCTCCCCTGGCTTGTTTGGCTAAGTGCGGCTTCCCACAGTTCGGTGTTGCATTAGTTTGATCACCCGCCAGGTCAGAGGTCTGGGCGTCCACTGAAGTCAAGCTTGCGTCAAGCCCAGCACGAAGTGCAAAGGAGGGCGGCAGAGGGGGAGCGGAGAGCCCGCAGAAGAGGATGAGGTAGCGCCAGCTCTGGACTGCGAGGAGGACGTCCGGGCATTGCGGCTCGGCCGCAGCGCTGGAGCTTGTCATCGCAACCTCGACCGCAGAGGGCAGGCGGGACGTCGCGATACCCGAGGGACACTCTCGGACCTGCGAGCTGGCGGCGCGTCTTGGAGGGAAGGTCGAGGGGACCGGCCTTCCAAGAAGTCCCCCACGCCTGCTGACAAGGCCGTCCCCCCCCGGCCTTCCCCCCTGGGCGCGGGGCGGAGCCAAGGAAAGTAAGCAAGAAAGCAGCGACAGGCATAAAGTAATTGAGGGAGCGCGATCTACCCTGGCTGGCCCGACAACTAGATTAGGGGAGTCAGAAACCAGAGGACCCCCCCCCCCTCCCCCCTCCGAAAAGATATTTTAAGGGGGGGGTCTGAAACCAGGGGACCCCCCCCCCAAACCTCCCCCCCAACCCGCCCCCTTAAAGAACTGGAAGGGGTCGGGACCCCCCCGGGGCCCGGAGCCCTCCCACCCCCACCCCCACCCCCAGCGACGACGACGACGACGACGACGGCGACGGCGACAACGTCAGCGGCGGCGGCAGCGCACCTGTCGCCAGCGCCCGCGCCAGGCGCCGGCTCTGATAGGATGCACTCGGGTTCCATCCAGCTTTCTCATAGTTCTATTAGGTCTCGATCCAGTTCTATTAGAAGCATGCTAATAGGATGCAATCCGGCTCTTCAAAAATTCGAGTAGGGTTCGATCAGGGTCAAACATAATCTAACAGAGTTTCGACCCAGCCTCAGTGGAATCTTACTACGGCGCTCGATCCAGCTCTACCAAGGCTCAACCCGAAGTCTTACTAGGGTTCGATCCACCTCGCATAGAATCATACCATGCTGGAATCCAGCCCCAAAGGAATCGCACTCGGGGCCTTTTCAACTCTCATAGAATACCATTGGGGTTGGATCTAGCTTTCATAGAGTTCTTAAAGGACTTGATCCAGTCTCAATCGAACCTTATGAGGGTTCGATCCATCTCGAACAGAATCCTGCTATGGCTCCAGCCATCCAGGGGTCGATACAGCTCTCTCAGAGTCCTACTCAGGTTCGACCCAGCTCGGATGAAATCCTACCAAGGCTCGTCCTAGCTTTATCAGACCCCTACTAGTGATGGGTCCAGCTCTAATGGGATCCTACTCAGGTTCGATCCAGCGCAAAGAAAGTCGGAGCACGGCTGAGACCCGCTCTGTCCAATATAATAATAATAATAACAATAATAAGAATGATAAATCAGGGCTGGATCTAGGTCTGATGGATCCTGCTAGGGCTCGATCCAGCATTAATGCAGAATCCCCATAAATTTGGATCCAGTTCTATGAGAATCCGATTAGGGATCGATCCATCTTGAATAAAATCTTGTCGGGGCTAAATCCAGCTCAAATCGAATCCCATTCGGGTTCGATCCAGCTTCAGTAGAATCCTACTATGGTCGATCCAGGTTCAATCGCATCCCAGTAGGGCTCGATCATCGTGGTCGTGGGCGTCATCGTCGTGGTCTTTCGTCGTATGTCGGCGTCATCGTCGTGGTCTTTCGTCGTATGTCGGCGTCATCGTCGTCGTCGTGGTCGTCGTGTGTCATCCGCTGTCGTCGGCGTCGTCGTCATTGTTGCCGCAACGGAGGTCTGGACCCCCCCTGGTTACAAGGGGGGTGAACCTCTGCCCCCTGCCAACAGCGGCAGGGAGAGCTAGTTGAAGATCCTGCAATCGGCAGAATGAAGCAAGACAGCCAGGAAAACGCGCAAATTCATCGCAGCTCTATGAAGTGGAAACGTGGAAGCGGCAGGATGCCACGTTCAATGTGCAAGTCTGCCTCCGGCGACGACCCTGCGCGCAGCAAGGGGGCGATGCATCCCGCAGACCACACATGCAGCCAGCGCGAGAGGCCAGCTGAGAAGGCCGCTGCCAGTTGAAAGTGGACGGTTGCCCCCGCACGTGGCAGAAAGCGTCATGGTCCAGACACCGGCCCCAATGGCGTTTGGAAGAGAACGAGTACAAGGGGTGCAAGACGGATGGACCCGTGAGGAGCGGCAAGCCACGAGACAACAACAGACGCAGAGCAGCCAGCCAACTGGTAGAACGGCCCACATCGCCAAGGGGGGTCGCGAAGCGCATCAAAGCGCCACGGACGTGAGGGGGGGACGAGAAATTCAGCGGGACACCACGAGACATCGTGCGTATGTGCACACGCGATCTTCCAACGAAAGACTGCACCCATTCGTGGGCATGTGTGACTCTCTAGGTGCATGTAGTGTCACGCGCACGTCAGGCGTGGCCATTCTGATGTGCACGTTTCGTCAATGATAGTCGCCTGGCAAGGTGGAGGGGGAAGGTGGAGGGAGGATGGAGGACGGAAGACGGAGGACGGAAGACGGAGGAAGGAGGAGGGGGAAGAGGAGGAGGAGGAGGAGGACGACGACGACGACGAGGAGGACGAGAGGACGGAGGACGGAGGACGGAGGACGGAGGACGGAGGACGGAGGACGGAGGAGGAGGAGGGGAGGGGGAGGAGGAGGACGAGGAGGAGGACGAGGAGGAGGAGAGAGGAGGAGGAGGAGGAGGGGAGGAGGAGGAGGAGGAGGAGGAGAGGAGGAGGAGGAGGACGACGACGAGAGGAGGAGAAGGAGGAAAAGGAAGGAGGGAGGAGGAGGAGGAGAGGAGGAGGAGGAGGAGGAGGAGGAGGAGGGGCGCCAGGCACGATGTAGGCCTCAGGCCTAGGCGGTTCGGGCGTTTTTGAGCGCCTCACCGAAAACGAGATCAAACAACAAAACAAACATAACAGTTTAACAAATGTGGTTTCTGTAGAATCCCGGCGATGCCCAACAGAAGTTTGCCAGAATGCATAGTTGTGTTAGGTGGTTTGGTTGCTTTGGTTTGGTAGTCGTGTGTTGCCTGCTTTGTTGTTCTGAAGGTGTTCCAAGACTTCTGGCACCTCCATGGGTTCCAACCCACTGCGGGGGTCCTCCCCCTGTCTCGTCCGCCTCGACATTCTCCAATGGCAAGAGGGGGCATCCAAAAGTGGATGCCCCTTTTGCCATTCTGCCACCCTCATGGGTTCCGCCCCACTGCGGGGGTTCTCCCCCGTCTCGTCCTCTTCCACACTTTCCGATGGCAGGAGGGGGCATCCAAAAGTGGATGCCTTGCCCTGCCATATGTGGACCAGACCGCTAACGATCAAACGTTGCTGCTGACACGTTCCGCCTCTTGCCCCCCTCGGGTATGTTTCTTCCACGAAGAAGACGTGCGAAGCACGTTCGTGTTCTAAGCAGGACACTATGACAGTTGTTCGGTTCGAGCTTTCGCCCAAGTCCGCCCCGCTGCGGGTGCCATCCCTCGTCGTCGTCATCCTCCACATTTCCTTATGGCAGTAGGGGGCATCCAAAAGTGGATCCCCCCCGCCATATGCGGAACAGCCTGCTAATGATCAAACGTAGTTGTTGGCACGTTCCACCTCTTCCCCCTTCGAGTGTGTTTCATCCACGCGAAAGGCATGCGAAATATGGTCGTGTACTACGCAAGACATTATGTCATGTGTTCGTTCCGGGCCTTCGCCCATGTCCGTGAGGCCACTTGCAAGGGGTGCTAGGGGACGCCAGGAAACGGGGGCGACAACGCGGGACAAAGCGGGCCAAGAGCACGGGACACGAGGGGAAAACAGGGAACGCCAGAGAGGCACGCGGGGACAACAAGGGGACTAAGGACGACAAGGAACCCAGCAGGAAAACAAAAGGGGCGAACGAGGCACGTAAGAGGCAGCCGACGAGAATAACCCTAAAAAATGCGACTAGCTTCGAACGCTCATTGCGCGCCCACCAGGGCTACAAGTGGGGATCCACAAATGGATCCCCTCACGGCATTCCTCCCTCAGCTCGCGCGCGCTCAGAATTGCTCCTGTGCCAGTCCGCGCCACCGCTCGCGCGCCCACGCCCCCCCTTGCCTGCCATGGCGGGCGATGCCAAGCTCACCTACGAGGGGGGGGGGCGCCCATGGCGAGCGGCAACAAGCTCGAACGCCACCCCAGCAAGGCTGCGAAGATGAACAGGTTGTCCATTAAGGGCGACCTGACGGTTCTCGACTTTCCCGGAGTGCCGATCTCCCGCGGTAGCACCACGATGCTCGTTGCGCTTGCGGACGTGATCACGAGCTACGAGGGCGCCTTCGATTTTGCACAGGTGCACGAGTTGCGTTGTCAGGGCCGCTTCAAAGATTTGCAACCCCCTTTGCTTTCAAGAGCGAACCAGCCGCCCCCTACACTACGCAGTTATTCATCGCGCCCCATGCTCCCGAGGACAACAGTTGCACGCTTTTCCGCAGCTTGAAGGCGATCCGCTTCGAGCAGAACAGGGCAGGCGCCGCGACCGCCAGGGCCATTTCGAGTTGCGAGACGCGCAAGACCGACGACGGCAAGAGCTACAGCACCGGCGCCGCAGCTTCCCACCCCATGCTGGAGAAGCTGGAGGGGGTTCAAATCACGCACTTTACGTAAAAGCTGCAGAACGAGCGGCAGCAGCCTTTGGAGCAGGACGAACGCAGCGAAGGATACGAGTTCATCCGCGAGCACGGCCCGCGCTCGACAACAGTTCATGGAGCGAGCAGACACATGAGCGAACGCAGAGGGGTCAAATATTCACGGCTGGCCCGCTGCAAAGGTAGAGGCGGCGCTCAGGAATTACCAGAAAAGGGGGACATACGACGCCTATCACGCGCTGGACATTGACGCCGAAGGACTTCGACGGTTTGTTCGTGAACAACGTCCTCGAGAACATGCTCGGTAGTCTCGACAAGCATGGAATCCTTGGGCGCGGCAAGTCCAGGGTCGGCAATAGCAACGACTCCAGGGCGATCGCGTTCGCGTATTCTGCTTTCAGCACTCAGCCGAAGACATCCGACTACGATGCGTCGTTCTTGCCGGCAAAACACTTGGACTTCTCCGAAGCGGAGCCGACGACGGACGTCTTGCCGGGGATATTCGACGATTGCCAGAAGGGCAACGCAGATTTTCTGAAGAAGGCGATTCTCAGCCCCCATGAAGAGGGCGCCCTGCTGCGGACGCGGCGGGGCGGGCGCGCCCACGAACGGGGGTCGCCCAGGTGGGCTTGTTCCAACCCCTACGACAGGAAGGCTGAGCAGGCGGCGACGGCTGCTTCCAGTCTGGGCATGTACAGCCTAGACCATTTCAAGAGGATCAGCCACCCGTCCATCGAAGCCGTGGATGCTGATGAGGACTTCAATTCTCGGCAGGTCACACGTTGTCGTGGTCACAGACACTGGCGCGACTGCAATTCCGACCCGGGGGCGCCCATGGCATGGCCCAATCCCGCGTGCCCCGACGTATTCCGCAGCGAAGTCCGCAACATCACGTCGCCCGCGCTCCGCCCTATTCCGGAGTACTTCGTAAAGAATATGCAATGGCCCATCGGCTACACGCTGGCGCTGATGAACGGCGAGAGCACGCCCGCTGTCGCCACCGTGCGCGTTGCCTCCTTGTTCGATGACGGGCCCGCTCGCGCGGTATCATCGGCCGTCGGCGCCTCTGGCCTCGAGCAAGGCGCAGCCAGCGCCAGGGCCGCGCCGGCGGCCGCAGCAGCACCCCGACCCGACGGCGCAGCAGACGGGCGCGCGGGGGCAGGCGACGACGCGAACGCCGACGAGGCCACTCAGCGTCTGCAGTGCGCGGATCAGTCTGCGGAGGAAGAGAGCGACGCGTTCGGCTTCGGAGGCGGCGCGGACGCCCCCGAAGAGGCCCCCTCGCCACCGCGCCGCGCGGCCATCTGCCTCCAGCGCCGCGCAGCCTCAGATCACGGGGTGCCACGGCGATCTATCAAGCGAGGACCACGCCGAGCAGGTGGCGATTTTCAGCAGCCTCGCCAAGGTGCACCATGGAGTTCGCGAAGACTTGTCGCACCCTCCGCCCAGCAAGAAGCCGCGGCGCTTGGTGGCGCGCCGAGGCGGCCCGCCCTCGCCGATCGACGCCAAAGAGCAGGATGCCATTCTTTAAAGCACTTGAAGTTGGAAGTTGTCTCACGGCGTCCTTTCCCACGACGCCGAGCAATGGGCCGCCGCCGACCGCGTCCGCGTCGCGCGTCCGAACGGACGCACCGAGACCATCGCTTTGAAGAAGGGGGCACAGGTCGACGACGGCTCATGGCAAGAGATGCGCGGTTCCATTCTTGATAGCGCGCACACATCCATCCGATTGGGATCGGCGCCGCTCCTATCTATGGGCTTGGGCGCGCGCGCGAGGAGATCAGGCAGTGATCTGCCCCAGGAATTCCGGAAGAGCGTCTGCGCAGAACGCGATGGCATGTAGCGATAGCACTTTTTCCAGCGCGCGCAGCCCACCCGCGTGCAGGAGGAGCGGGCCGCGACCGCCTGCGCACAGTCTGCGCGTCAGCTTGCCTTCGTAGAAAAAATTAATCAAGACGAGTGCTCGTGCACAGATGGCTTTGCCTTCCGTGGAGAAAAACTCCAAAACCGCCCAGGCCTACATCGCGCCCGGCGCGGGAGCAGGAGCAGGAGGAGGAGGAGGAGGAGCAGACGGAGGAGGAGGAGGAGGAGGACGAGAAAGAGGCGGAGGAGGAAGAGGAGGAGGAGGAGGAGGAGGAGGAAGGGAGGACGAGGACGAGGAGGGGGAGGGGGTTCGAGAAAGAGGAGGGCGGCCGCCAGTCCCCGACGAGGTCCTTCCCCTCCCCGAGCTCCAAGACCAGGTGGTCGGGGACCCGGGGGCGCGCGACCTGCAGGCTCGGCCCCGCCGCCGTCGCCGCCCCCGCTGACCCTGGGGCGTTTCGCGTCGTTTTCGTTCGGGCGTCGAGTAATGGGAAGGTCTTCCTCCTTTCCTCCTCCCCCTCCTCCTCCTCCTCCTCCTCCTCCTCCTCCTCCTCCTCCTCCTCCTCAGTTCGTGGAGCGGCAGTCCCAGACCATCTCGGATTTGCAAGGCCTTGTGCGTCGCCAGTCGGCCTCTTTCATGGTGCTGGGCACGATTATCACGACGTTCTCGGAGGAGCTCTGCTCGAAGATCCGCGACTCTCTGGACGTGCACGCGCAGGTCTGCCAGGCCGCCGTCCACAGCAGCATGCAGAAGTTCGCCTTCCATTCTCTCAGTTTGGCTGCCAGTGCCCGTGTCCCTGGACCTGCTGCCGATGAGGGTCACGCTAGTTCCGCCGATGCTGATCATCATGCGGAAGCTGCTCGTGCCCTTCCTGCCGGTACTCATGCTGATGTTGTTCGCCCTGATCCCTGTGTCGCAGCTGCCCGTGAGCGAGTTCATCATTTTCGTGCTGAAGATGAGTATGGCGCTCCCCCCGACGATGCTGCTCATGTCGATCTGCCTGTTGAAGCGGCTCCCGCCGACCCTCCTGATGGAGAGGATCGTGACGCTCTTCATCGTGATACCGTTCTACCTCCTCCTGGTGTGGAGCCCCATGGTAGTGCTCTTCGTGCTGCAGAGGCTCACAGCCACACCGGTGGTCAGGTCTGCAAGGCCTCCTCCCAGGGCAGTATGCAGAAGTTCGCCTCGCTGAGACACGGCTTGGAGCAGCATGCTCGCAGTGCCGCGGGCTCCACGACTGCGGACGGCGACACGGACAGTGAGGCGGCCACGAGCTCTTGCCTCGCGGCGCATTTTGATCCCTTCCTTGACCCCTGGCTTCTCGGCCTCGACCTCCCCCCGCGCTCGGTCCCCTCGCTCCGTTCGCGCCTCCCGTCCCTTGTTTCGGCTCTGCCCACCCCGATCGCCATTCTTCCGATTGCCATCGGTACTGCTGCCGCCGCGGCGCGCTTAGCAGCACTGCGTCGTCTTCGTTTCCCGAGGGCTTAGGCTCGACCTCTGCCCGCTGAGCTTCGTGCCCTCCTCGTCCTCCTCCTTCTCCTCCTCCTCCTCCTCCTCCTCCTCCTCCTACTACTACTACTACTACTACTCCTCCTACTCCTCCCCCTCCTCCTCCTCCTCCTCCTCCTTCTCCTCCTTCTCCTCCTCCTCCCCCTCCTTCTCCTCCTCCTCCTCCTCCTCCTCCTCCTCCTCCTCCTCCTCCTCCTCTTCCTCCTCCTCCTCCTCATTCACGCCACAATGCGGGGCCGTCTCGCGCCATCGTTTCTGACATCGCGGCTGAGGCTTGCATGGCAGGCGTCGTCGGGTGCTTTCCGTGAGGGTCCGACCCAGTCCTCCCCCAAGCTTCAGTCGAGCATGTCCCTCTACAGGAGGAAAATTCACCAGTAGTCCAAAGATAATATGGGAACGATTTGTTCTACTATGTTTGATCATTCGGGGTTATGTGTTTACTATGCTTTATTCTTCGTCCAAAATCCGCCTGTATGGTGGACACGCCCGACCTAACCCTGGGCAAGCTCCCTGACCCGGATTCTGGCGGCATGGACCCTGAACCATCGGCAGATCTTGGCCCCAGAAGGGGGGGGGGATGCGGCGAGAGTCGGGGCGAGACGGGAGGGGAGAGCACGGGCGGGACGAGGGGATGGAGGCGGAGAGGGGGAAGGAACGCAGGGGGGGGCACGAGTGGGTGATGAGCGCCAGGTGTGTTTCTCCACGCCACTTGCCGATCCAAGTGGTCGTCGTTATCGTCCTGCCGCAGGCAGCCAGACGGCGCCGCGGGCGGAAGCCTGGTGAAGGGCGGCGGAAGTAGAGGCTCAGCCTCCAAATGGACAGCGGCGGAGTACTCAGGGTCCGGAGTTGGCTCGCTTGCTTCGATCTTCCAGCTGCTGTCGGCAAGCCCCGCCACCTTGTCAGCTCAGCAGCACCAAGGCAAGGAGGTTGAGTGTTGAGTTCAAGAAGCGCTACACTTCAGCGCCCTGTCTAAACTGGCACAGGTCTCAAACACTCCTTTTTCGTCCGCAGCCCCTTCCATACTCCTTCCTGAGCCCGATCCGATTTCTTGTCCGACGTTCCGGCGATCTGACCGGCCCGATGCTTGCACGGCGCTGCTGCGCATCCTGGCGCGGCCGATTCGATTGGATTCCGGCCCCATGCCGATGCGGCCCGTGTCGAGGCATGTTCCGATCCGACCCGACTTCCCGATCCGACGTTGCCTGATTCGGACGGGGGTAGGACGAGGATGAATCCGTTCCGGAGCGTTCCAGAGCGCTCCCTCTGAGAGCGTTCCAGAACGCTCTGAGAAGGCCGCGGCGCCCGAGGCATCCTCCAGAGCCACCAGATCCCGGGCATTCTCGATCCACCCTCGCCCACTTCTTGCCCTCGTCTTTGGCCTCGTCTCGCTCGCTCCTGCCCCGTCTGCTGGCCCCGCTGCCCCGCAGGTTTTTTTTGGCCCGAGCTGCTCGGTGGCAGCTGCGCGGCTGGGCCCCCGAGGGGTGGGGGGGGGGCGCGCCCGGTGCCGAGTAGGTCAGCCTGCAGCTATAGGCAGGCTGCACGGCCCCGGGTCGGAGGAGGGCCCGTCGAGATGGCTGCGGCCCGCCCTGCCGTTTGCCCCGTCCTCTCTTTGGGCATGTCCCCCCTACGGTGAAGTCGGGCCTGTCCCCCTACAGGGGGATTTTCGACGATCCCAGAAAATAGTCCAGAAATAATCCAAAAATAATCCAAAGAGTAGCCCCAGAAAATACTCCAACAGGCCTCCGGGAGGCTCGCCGTCGCCACAGCTGGATCCGCTGCGGGAAGACGGATCGGGACGGAGCCCGGGAGGGGTCCGGGGACAGCTTTTGACCAGGTCTGGGCCCGGCGGGAGAGCCGCCGTGGTCTCGGGTGGCCCTGCTCCGAGTGGGGCGATGTACCGCTTCATGAACATTCGGGGGCGGAAAAGAGGGGGGTGATGACTAGGGGGGGGGGATATCATGGCGGGGGCCATGATATTTCCCCAGATTTTATGGCGCCTCTTATTGCTTCATTACGTCCCTGGCTCCCCCGCTGGGCCGCGCACATGCCGCCGGTCATGATTTGCACCCCCCCCTCGTGGACACCCCCCTCTTGGCCGCCCCCGAAACATCCAGGGCCAGGCCGAAAGGTCCGAGAACTACCACAGGTTCCGTGGGAGGATCATAGTGGTGGACCTCGCGACGATCAACGGCGAGACCGAGGACTTCGAGGGTCGCCACTGGCTCGAGGGCATCACGCGCGATAACAAGCCTGTCGGGTGGGACCTGGAATGGCAGCCAGACAGGACGAGGGAGACGGACAACCCGATAGCGCTGATGCAGTTTGCTGATGAGAACATCGCACTGCTGCTACGCACCCACAGAACGAGAAATTGGCTGCCCATATCAGTGATGCGGGCGTTGATGAGCGACAGCTGCAAGAAAGTGCAAGTCGGGTGGGACGGCCCTGACCGACAGAAGATGCAGAACACTTTCAATTTTCAGCCATTGGGCATCGTCGACATGGCGGAGCTAGCTAAGGTGAAGGGCATCGCGGCGCAAGGCTTGAAGTCATTATCAGATCATTTCGGCATGAAGATGCAGAAGGATTATGGAGGCTTCCGCCATCTCCCTGGCCCCCAACAGAGCGAATTCGAGACGGTGTTATCGGCAACTATGCGACAACTGCGCCAGGACGATCCTTAGCTGTCTTGTAGCAGTATTTGAGCCGTCTTGAAGAGTGCCTGACATCGTTCGGAGCAAAACGAGCACCCTTGGCGCTCGTTTGGAGTCGTTTGGGCGAGTCTCAGGATACTCTCGGGGGGGGCTCGTGAGGCAATCACGAGGTTCTTGAATCTCCTCGGAGGCGTTTGGGAGCGATAGGCAACGGAGCAGAAGTCATTGAGACACTTCAGATGCTTCGAATGAGTCGCGATGCCTGGACTTCCTCTTGGAGCCTGTTTGGGCGCGCTTGGGTCTCTTGAGGCTGTGCGTGTTTTCGTTTGGGCAGATTGAAGCCTGTGAGCTGCCCTGAGCCTGGAATTGAGGGCTCTGAAGGCCCGAGTGGCGCGTCGGGGATCTTTTGCCTCCACCTCCCCTGTCAAACGGCATTCTGGGCCCCTGAAGGGGGGACCAGGGGGAGGGGGACAGCCAAACATCTCACACGCCGTCTCACCTCTGGCATGCGGGGGTCGGTGGATTCAAAAATCGCGCGGTCCGATTGGGCGAGTGAGGAGCTCACTTTGGAGCAGAAACAGTACGCGGCCGAAGACGCATATTTTTCATTCATGGTTTATCAGAAGCTGAGCTTCCTGTCTGACGCTCCGCTGGACAGAGACCCCGACCAATTCAAAAAGGTCGTCAATCAAGGGGTGCTCGAGCTGCGGCCTGGCTGGGAGGAGCAGGGCATCGCGCGGAAGCACGACGGGCTATGGTGCACCATGTGCAACAAGGGGCCCATGACGGTGCCCGAGGTGATGGTGAAGCACATGGAGGGCGCCAAGCACAAGAAGAATTGGGAGCAGAGGAAGGGGGTCGGCGTCAGCGACGACGGCCACTTGACCGAGCTGCCAGACGAGTACACCCTGCAGTGCATCGTGCAGGGTGACGGCTGCAACGGCATGAAGGCAGGCGACTTCAAGTGCACGCTCTGCAACGTCGGGCCGTTCAGCTCGCTGGCCACCGTGGACGCACACATCAAATCTAAGAAACACGTCAAGGGCATGACGCCTGTGGAGCCCCAAGAGCAGGCCGAGGAGGCGATGAAGAAGGATCCCCTGGAGGGCAAAGAGTGGAATCTACCTGACTACGTGACGATTACAGGCGACATTCTCGAGTGCACGCTCTGTCCAGCCAAGGCCAACGCTTATACGCCAATGGCCAATCACCTGGGGGGTGACAAGCACGCCAAGAAGTGCCGCAGCAGCGGACACCCAGAGGTAATGTGGGTCAAGGAGCGACTCCAGCTTGAAGATATGCTGTCGGGTAAGCCCGTCGTCCGAAAGGGTTTCAGGCGGCCGAAGAGAGAGAAGGCCGACTTGGCCATGCAGGCCCAGGCGGCCCAG